ATCGTTTACTTAGGAAGGGGGTCGTTCTGGGGGAGGGGAGATGCTGATTTTGGGGAGGGGGCAAACTTTGGCAGGGGACGCTTTCGTGGGAGAGGCAGGGGCTCACGGTGGAGGATGTGGGGCTTTAATCGCGGAAGGGGGAGTGCAGAGCCCCGAGCGCCTCCACGGGGATGGGGGGATTTCCGGGCAGCGGAACGGGGGATGCCGCGGTGATGGGGGCGCTCACAGCCCCTCCCCGCAGGGCTGTGGGTTCTGAGCCCCCGCACCCAGCAGACATCAGCGCTGCGCATCGCGGCCGCCCGCGGTTACGAGGAATGCGCCCGGCACCTGCTGCTGTGCGGGGCGGAGGTGGATGCCGTGGTGGGCGGGCGGGGGGCTCTGCACGACAGCGTGGCCGCCCCCCGACCCTCAAGCGCCCGCCTGCTGCTGTCCTTCGGTGCCGACCCCAACCTGCTCAGCTCGGACGGCAGCGCTCCGCTGCACCTCTGCACGGCGCCCGACAGCCTGCAGTACGCCCCGCCCCTTCTGCCCCGAGTCCCGCCCCTTCCGCGCAAAGCCCCGCCCCCTTCATCTGCATGCGACGCCCCGCCCCTCCTGTGCACCACCCACTATATCTGCGCGCTAAGCCCCGCCCACGCTTGCTGATAGGCCCCGCCCCCCCGATCTGCATATCCCGGTCACACCTGCGCTCTGGGTCCGCTTTGGTTATTAGGCCACGCCCATCCGCTGCCCCCGCCCACTGCCCCACCTGGCCCCGCCCACGCACCGCACCGCCTTTCCACCAAAGCCACGCCCACATCCGACTTCCTCGTTTGCATGCCGGGCTCCGCCTCCCACGCCAAATCCCATTGGTTCCCCGCGGCAAGCCCCGCCCCGAGCCAGCGCACACCCACTGTAAAGCCACGCCCACTCGCCCCGCGCCCGCCGGGGATCCCCGCCCCGGGGGGAGGTTGGTGGGGTCCGGGCCGGGATCCGCGGCTCTCACTGCGCCCCACGCCGGCCCCGCAGGTGCGCGGAGCTGCTGCTGGCCCACGGCGCTCGGGTGAACCTGGCGACGCGGGAGCGCGCACTGACGGCGCTGCACGTGGCCGCGGGGCGGGGCTTGGCGGAGCACGTGGGGCTGTACCTGCGGCACGGCGCCGACCCCGCGCTGCGCAGCCGCCAGGGCGAAACCCCCCTGAACGCCGCCTGCTCCGGAGCCGAGCGGCCCCGCGATGCCCCCGCGTATTGCCTGGTAGCCGAACGGCTGCTGGCCGCCGGAGCGGATCCCGCGGTCGCGGGGCGGAAAGGCCACACTCCCCTCCACAACGCCTGCGGGAACGCGCAGCACGAACTGGCGCGGCTGCTGCTGCGGCACGGCGCCGACCCCACGGCGACCAACGGAGCCGGCGATACCCCCATGGACTGCGCGCTGAGGGCCGTCCCGGAGTACCGCCGGCACCGCCCCGAGAGCATCATTGCGCTGCTGCTGGAGCACGGAGCCGGGCCTGTGCGGCCCAAGGTGCGGGACGGGGGGACGCGATGGGACGTGGGGATGCGGCACCGGTCTGAAATGGGGACGTGGTGTCAGTGGGATGGGGACGTGATGTTGGTGTGACACGGGGATGTGGCGTCCGTGTGCCTTAGGGACACGTTGTGACACGGGGCAGTGTGAGATGGAGGTACAGCATTGGTGGGACGTGGAGACAGAGGGCAGGTGTGACATGGGGACAGGAGGCAAAACGACATGAGGGCACAAGGTCAGTGTGACATGGATGGGACCAGTGTGACCTGGGGGCACGACCTTAGTGCGACTTGGAGACACGGAGAAAGGGCAACATGGGAACCTGACATGGGTGTGACATGGGGACGTGACATTGATGTGACGTGGGACTGGTGTGACACGGGGACACAGGGCTGGTGTGGCACAGGGATGTGACATCAGTGGGACGTGGAAACGTGGGGCTGGTGTGCGTGGGAACACAGCAGCGGTGTGAAATGGGGATGTGACATTGATGTGACGTGGGGACACGGCAATGATGTGACACAGGAACGAGTTGACGGTGTGATGTGGGACAGGGGGACACAGGGCTGCCGTGGCTCAGGGACGTGGCACCGCTGTGACCCGCTGTGTCTCCATACCTGCAGATGCTGAAGTTCTGCTGCACGCACCCCCCGGCTCTGGAGCTGCTGCTCAACGCCTACGACCGCATCCCCCCCCCCGACACGTGGCTGGAGGCCGTTCCGCCGGAGCTGTGGGAGGTGAGGTGACGCAGGGATGCGGTCACACGCTGACGGTGCCCCGGCCGTCCGTAAGGCGCTCAGCCCTCCGCCCCCCCCCTCCCCCCCCCCCCCAGGAGCACCACGAGTTCTACACGTCGGCCGTGCGCATGGCGGGGCAGCCCCGGCGCCTGCAGCACCTGGCGCGCTGTGCCCTGCGGCGGCAGCTGGGCGCCCGCTGTCACACCGCTGTCCCCGCGCTGTCGCTGCCGCCCGCGCTGCGCCGTTACCTGCAGCTGCCGCTGGAGGGAATCATTTCCTGAGGTCCGGCTGCGGGGCGGGGAGGGGCGGCGGGCCGGTGTCACCCCCCTCCCCCCCTTGGTGTCTCAGCGCGCACCGTTCCCTCCGTGGGTCCGCGGCAATAAAGGAGGTGTGGAAGCGGCTGTTGGCGTTCTT